CTGTGGCCAGCAGCCCGGGCACGTGGGCCGGGGAAGTTAGCACAGCGAACTAGAATTAGGCACTGACACGTGGAGGTTGATTAAAGATTATTTTACTTACACCGAAGATGGTCCCAGTGCAGGCAGGAAAACTTGCTTGAGTTGCAGTTACAGACAAACACAAGTGGAGTTTGCTAGGCTCCACCGAAGACACACGAGTGGAGTTTGCTAGGCTCCGCAAAACAAACACGATGAGAGCTCTCTGAACTGATACGAGAGTCCGAGCTGTGACTCTCAACGAGCGCGCAGGGCAGGGGTACGTCAAGGATCGTCCGGTGACGGGGAGAGATTCTTGATGGGTGATCAAACCATCATTCGGTCTGAGATATACGTAGAAATCCACGAGATAATCGTGGACTCCTTGCCAGAATTCTCTCGGATTTCTCCCGGAATTCTCGGAATCGGGGTTCTCAGGATCCTCCTGAGATTCTCGGAGATCTCCGACTTGGGCGGAAACTGCTCAAGCCTCTTATACAGCTAGCAAGCCAATCGTTAGCCGCCACGTGGGAATAATTTAGAAACAGCCAATAGTGGGACACAAATTTGCATGCGAGTGGCGGGAACTCCTTTGCACCAGGGTTTTCTCTATGCAACTGAGAATTGCACCGTAAGGTCCATGTGGCGGGAAATAATTCTGCAGTGCCGAAGCGCGCACACAATCATTGGGTAATGACATTGTGTAATGAAGGAAGTCAGCCACTGAAGTATAAAATAAAAAGAAGTGAAAAACAAGGAATTTAAAAAGAAATAAAGAGGAAATAAAATTGAAGAAGGTCTCATATTTAATATATTGGGATTTGGGATTGAAGTGTGCAGGGCGATGGACATGTTTCCATGGTGCTTTTGGGGGAGCTACTGCCCCTGCCCTGGTGAAGGAAACCCTAACCCATTCCTTGTTCCCCTCACTCCCTATAAACTCCACTCCTGGACCTGTCCATGCCCTGTAACATGGCTAGGAGGCATGTGCTCTGCAGGCTGTTTGCATAGGGTTGCACCCCTGGGGGTGGGAAGGAAAGTTGGCTTGGTGCCAGAACAGTCCCCTGGGCAGTAGAGTTCAGGGAGTGGAAAGTTTGCCTACACAGAAGAGGAGGATGGAGGAGGGGACACTGCATCCTGGGATGCTGGAGGACTGCAACGTCGGCAGCTCATCTGTGGGGAGTGGCCACACTTTAATGGAACACAAGCTGGATAACACAGATCAGAGATAAACCTGCCCTGGACTGGTGTAACTTTAATCCACCTAAAGTGTACTTAAAATTAGTCTCAGATGTTAATGTGTGGACAATCCAGGCATTAAGAACTGCAAAAGCCACCTAAAATTAATATGTAACAAGGCTCTCAGGTTGTCTGTGGAACACAGCATATGGACAGATTTCAGTGAAAATCAGGTTCTTTCAATGTGTCTTGAGTTGTGCACCAAAAATTGAAGCACCCAAAATCACTGGGCACTTCTGCAAATGGCCATGTATTTAAAAATACAAGCATGTTATCAGGAAGAAAAAATGCTGAAAACTTTTTCGAAGTTGGGGTAAGAGTAAACCTTTCTTTGCTGTTTTAGTTAAACCTGAAGCTTCCCCAGTCATATATTAATGAGCAAGTAATACACTGTAGCAAAAATAGCTACCTATTCATACAACAATGACACTTTTTTGCATGCTAATATATTTTCCTTTACATACATTTATTTATGGCTTACTTTTTAGGAACCTTTGGTGCTTCTACAGGGGATTCGATTGAAACTCGAAGAAATGAAGACCTATGGTAATTCACATAATGGCACCGTCAATAGTAGTGTTTGATCACACTGGTGTATCTTAAGAATGTCTCCAGATCTGGTATCTGAGTGACAAGGTTAATATGATTGAATATGATGAGCAATAATATGATGAAACATTCAACGTATAGGAAGTAAAGGAAAGAAAGCGAGGCATCAAATCTAAGTGACATGTTTTCAAAAAGTTGCATGCTTTCATACATATGATTCTTCCTGATTTTAAATAGAAATATAAAATGCAGTGGCAGAAATGAAGAGGCATTATTAGGTTTTAGCTCTAGTCTGGGTTGAAATGCTTTCTCTTAGAATGTAAATTGGGTTTTTCATGAAGATTCTAACATTTCCTGATAAAAATTCCCATCATAGGCAGAGAACTCATAGGCCCCTAGCAGACATTACACGTAAGACACAATTAGTTTGTTAATCATGTCTTCAATAGTAACCTCGCCACATATTCAGGCAATTAATGGCACCACCGAAAGGAAAACCAGCCACAAAAATATTGCACAAAAAACGTGTAGTATTTCTTTGGTTGGTTTCCATCACCCATTAACTTGAATGAGTGGCAGGGTCAGGACCACACTGGGGTCCCCAACCAGCCCCTGTATGGTCCCCACTGGCTCAAAACCAGCTGATTGTCAGCTGGATGTGGGACCACAATGGGGCTCAAACCAGTCTCTGTGCAGTCCCTACTGGCCAGTGACCAGCTGATCGTTAGCTGGATTGGGACTATGCAAAGGCTCCCTGGCTGTGATACTGAAATTCAGCTTATGATAGGGCAGCTCCAGGGTACACATGTGAGCTTGTTTGAGTCCAAGTGCAGTCCCAAGCCAGCTGACAATCAGCTGATTGTCAGGCACCTAATTTTCAGCTTGCCAGGGTAGCGCAAGCTCAGGATTATGATCACTGTCTTGAGATGGGGTCCCTAAGGATGGCCGTGTTACCCCTAAGGCCCCTTGACTGTGCCGATTTGGCCCAATAAGCACCCTCTATTCTCACCCACCACATCTTGATGGATTTATGATATAGGGAGGCTGCCTTCACGTCCCATTGGACATGGTCCTAATGGAGTTCCTTGAACCCTGTGGGTTCCTGGACCCCTTGTGGGTCCTGTTCCAAAATGGATCTCATGGGACACCCCAGTCTTATGGGTTATATGCGTGGCTCCAAACCACCCCTTTACCACGCCCCAAGCCTCGCAGATGGTACTTCCACAGCATCCCTCCGAGGCCTTGGTTTCACTAGGCCTCAGGTTGTCACTGGGCTCTCCGTAGCCCTGTCTCTCACGGCGCCCACACTGGCGCTGGGGTCTGTGCACCTGTCTATGTCACTGGGCTCTCTGCAGCCTGGTCTCTCACAGCACCCACACTGGCGCTGGGACCACCACACTATAGCGGGGCCCCAATGAGGCCTCCTCCTTCCCCAGTAGCCTCCCCCAAACCACCGGTCTTATAAACAAAAATCAACATGCAAGCCCCAAGGCTATAACATAACTCAAGCCACCCGGCTATAACATAATTCAAGCCACACAGGGTGTGCTCTGTCCCTCAACAGTATCAGAAGCTGCACTTGCAATCAGGCCTCTCCCCTTTGCTTCCTCTAGGAGAGCTCCTTCCCCCTTGGCTGCTGGCAGAGAACTGCCCTCCTGGCCTCTGGCCTGGGGTTTATATACGAGCAAGGCCCTGTCCCTTCTGGTCAGCTGACTGCTGGCAGGTGTGGGCCCACTAGCTTGTTCTGGCTGCCCTGGGGCTCCCAGCTAACTACTAGGGCTCTCTCCCTAGCAGGTTCCAGCCTTTAGAAGGAGCAGGACATCCTAGTGCCCTGCAAGAATCACAATCACAGGCTTCCCCTGCACTGGCAAACAGAGTGTGACTGGATCAGATCCCTGATCTGAAATTTGTGCCATCTACCATACAAGAAGCACAAATTGTTGGGATTGGGGATAAGATCCCGTTGCAACCTTTGAATTAATGTCTTTCAGCCATAGACATATGCATTGATTTTACACTGTTCTGGGAAATCCAGTTCAATCTGATTATCCTGCTGTAGCTTTGAAAACTGAATGGTTCCCAGTTTAGCTTGAGGCAGCTCTCCCCTCTCCCATATTTTATGACTTGCATTATTAGCTTTCCTTGTCGGGATCATGGCCAGCTCACAGAATCTATAGAAGCACAAGGATGTGACTGCAATTTGGGGAGGGTCTGAGAAGTGCTATGGTCAGAAGCCAAAGACTACATTTAAAATACATATAAATATTTCAACAGCTCCAAGACTACAAGTGATTTATAAGCATCAACAAATTATCATGTCTGAATGCAGAAGTTCCAATCACTGCATAACAAAAAAAAAGTAAAGACAGGAGCTTTTAAAAAGAAAGAATGACCCCTCTCAGATTTTTAAAGACAGCTCCCAATGTGTTCATAGAAATGCACTCTGTTTCCAAGATTAAATGTGAGCGACCAGAACACAATGCATCAATTTATCCTTGCAATCCTTGATTACTCTCATTAGTTTCTTGTAGCTTACAGCATGCAAAACCTACTTTGCATCGCATTTTGTGTTGAGAAACAACAGCACTTTAATCACACTGGGTATTAACAAAACAATCCTTTCTGAACAGCATGCCTTTAATTATTTCCTTTGCCTCTTAATTTATGATAAAAGGCAAAAAAAAAAGAGACTTCCACTTCTCTTGGGCAGATTTTGTTTTGGGGGACTTGAACTGGATTCTGTGAAGCAAAGTATTATGTTTCTATTTAGAAATGATCTTCTTGTGTATAGAAAGAATAAAGGAGGGGTTAAAAACGAGAAATATCTTCAGAGAAATTTTTAAAGTTTGTTTCTAGATTTTTTTATCCTTAAAATTATCTTAAATTAAAATAGTCAATTCAGCTCTTATAGTAACAGCAAACACACGGGGCCAAAAGACAAACGTAATCTAAAAGAAATCACAAATATAAAGTGCAGCTGTGTATGAAGTAGAAACAATGGTACCTTTGGCACTAAAAGCCCAGGCCATATGGTTCAAGCTCAACATTAAGTAATGCTAGTTTCTTGAAATTCAGTTTAAACATTGAATACCTGCTAAAAGAATGCCCTCAAACTATGCATTTAGATCATCAGCCTGAACTTCCATACTAAAGCAATGTTGAGATTACATTACATTTAAATCGGGGGTGTTCCAGCTCCAGCCCACAGGCCAAATGCAGCCCACAGAGTCATGGCATCCAGCCTTCAGAGCTCCCCACAGGTTGGGAAATTTGGCGGTTGTGATATTGTAGCAGTTACCACTGCCATACTTCTCCATGACCAAGTTCCCAAACCCCAAGCCCCAGCATAGTGGGTTGGAGCTGGGCGACATCTCCTTCCCCCCGCATAGCCAGATGGGGTCTGTGCAATGCTTTCTCTCTCCATGAGGCTGGACTGGGGCTGGACCAACCCCCTCCCCTCTGCAGAGCCATGCCCTATCCCCCCCATGGGGCAGGCTGGGTCAAACCCCCTTCTCCCATGCAGCTGCCCTCCACCACCCCAGTTTGGTTGGTTGGGGACCACCATGTCAGCTCCAGATGTCGGATCAGGACCACTGGCATGATTGGGCTTGTGGCCAGACCAGGTACCACCCAGTGAAAAATTTGAGCACCACTGCATTAAATCCCTAACAGTAAGCCATTGTAAGATAAGGATACAATCTGGACTTACTTTCCAGACTAGATATTTAAGGATTGCCACTTGAGTACTACTCTTTAATAACAAAAGAAACATTTTGAATTAATTGTAGAGAAAAATTATGTTGATATACTTGATTGACCAGGGAGTCCAAATGATCACTGCATTAATGTAGATGTTCTAGTTTATTGCAGGATATTTCTACTGCAATTATTACAGTTGGTTAAATAAAAAGTGAAACTACATGAAAATATATAAGTTTACAGTGCTTTGCATACCTATGATTAAATAGGTGGGATATGAATCAAGGGCTAAAGCAGATGGGTACAATGCACCCAGATTCAAAGACTCTGTCATAGACCTATGCACTACTCAAGTTCTCATAATAAGGCTTTTGCTACGGTGGGGAAGGAGGGAATGATGTACAAACTTCATGTTGCCCTTTCTACATAGAGGTAAATGTTCCTGGGATCTGAAGGTCAAAGCCTGAGGAAAGTGATTTGCAGAGGAGGTTGTGTGAAAATTGTTCACGGGGGTGGAGAACTGGAATAATCACCCTTTCCTCAGGAAGAAACAGAAAGAGGTGTTGGAGAGCATGGCTTTACTGTCTCTGTTTTGCAGCTCCTTGTGTGGACCTCTGGAAGAAGACCCTCAAAGTTTGGTCTCAATAAAGGCATT